ATTTATTTATATGTGGTGCTGAGAATTGAACCCAGTGCCTCACACCTGCTAGGCAAGTGCTCTACCACTGAGCCACAGCCCCAGCCCCTTCACTATGTCTTTTTCAGGGACAATTTAATCCACAACAGAAGGACTCACTTTTGCCACTTCCTTTTATACTATAGGTCCTAGCTAGTGTAGTAAGGTAAGAAAAATAAATAAAAGGTATAAAAAATATGAAAGAAGAAATAAAACTGTTAGTTTTCATGGACCATATAATTTTCTGTGAAGAAAATCATACATAATTCAAATAAATTATAAAAAAGTAAGTGTAACAAATTTGGTATATACAAGATTAATATATAAAATTAACTTTCTGCCAGTATGACAACAGGAAAATAAATGCTAAAAAWAAGTATAATTGACAATAGCATGAAAAAACAACACTTGGAGATACCTAATATAATCTAATAAAATAGGCATACTACTGTTGGCAGAAAGCTATAAAATATTATTGGTAGAAATTAAGAAATGGCGACAGGAACCACTGCTGCAGATGCTGCTGTAGGGCTCAGAGGTCTTTTCTCTGGGCTAAGATGCCACTATCTCTGAGGCTGCTGCCACTGCAGCCTGCACTGCTACTGCCTATGCTGCTGCCACTGCTGCTGCTGCCCTGAGGTTGAGGTCACCTGGAGGTCTTCTTTCTGGGTGCTGCTGCCCATGCAGCTGCAGCCACACAGCTGCTGCCCACCCCCAGAAGTTGCATGGGTGATGCTGCCCTCATAGCTCCAGCTGCAGCCACTGCTGGCACTGTCCTACTATAGCTGCCACCAACCCCACGACTACTGCTGCCACCACCACCCAGAGGTCTGTTGCTAGGGAGACTACAGGTTTGGTTGCACATAGCTGCATCCATTTTGGGACTCCAGGCAGGACCACAGGGACCAGGGTGCTAGCAGATTTTCCATTAGAAGCCGCCTCTGTCTGGGGACTCAGATCAGGACTTGGAGGTCCAGTGTGTGTGTGKGGGGGGAGTATCTGTGGATTTGGCTGCGCCTGGGGTATCTCTGCTGGGAGTGCTGGTGGCCCCCATCTTGTTGCTTCTCAGGGTTGCTCCTTTGTGTGAGGGTATCCCTTGTGGTCTCTCTGAAACTTAGAACAGTGTTTAGATCTTGGGACTGCAGCATGGTGGAGCCTGGAGTATTTGAAACCCAGATCGGTGGGCTAGTGACTGGGTCTGCAAGGGCTGAGCTGGGCCTGGTGATCCTGTGAGACCTCAAAGACAGGGCTGAGAAACTTTTGAACACTGACAGAGAGTTCAATTTCCATCAAGATTTATTTTATTTTATTATTCTCTAACATCTCTACCATATTTGGAGCAGGGTGTTTTTTTATGTATCAGTGTGTGGAGGACATAATATATGAATGGTATTTTGCAGTTTTGTTGTATTCTTATTATTTTTTTTTTTTTTGGTATTCCTCCTCTCACTTGTCTGTTTTCCTAGATTCTCTTTCCACCCTTTCTCCAACCAACAACCAATATCTGTCAGTTCCTCTCCCACTCTTCCTATGAATTTTTGCTTCTAGCTTCTCTTTACCTGCCTCATGAACATTGTATACTATGCTACTTCTGAAACTTAATTTCACTGAAATTCATCATATCAATAGACTTAAAAACAAGAATCATATGATAATCTCAATAGATTCAGAAAAAAGCATTTGACAAAATATAGCACCCCTTCATGTTCAAAACACTAAAAAAATTAGGGATACTAGGAACATACCTCAACATTGTAAAAGCTATCTATGCTCAGCCTCAGGCCAGCATCATTCTAAATGGAGAAAAATTGAAAGCATTCCTTCTAAAAACTGGAACAAGACAGGGATGCCCTCTTTCACCACTCCTATTTAACATAGTTGTTGAAACTCTAGCCAAAGCAATTAGTCAGAAAAAAGAAATTAAAGAGATACAAATATGTAAAGAACTCAAACTATCACTATTTGCTGATGACATGATTCTATATTTAGAAAATCAAAACAATTCCACCAGAAAACTTCTAGAACTAATAAATGAATTCAGCAAAGTATCAGGATATAAAATCAACACCTAAAAATCAAACACATTCCTATACATCGGCATTGAATCCACTGAAAGAGAAATTAGAAAAACTACCCTATTCACAATAGCCTCAAAAACAAAAAACAAAAAACAAAAAACAACTTGGGAATCAACCTAGTAAAAGAGGTGAAAGACCTCTACAATGAAAACTACAGAACACTAAAGAAAGAAATTGAAGAAGATCTTAGAAGATGGAAAGCTTTCCCAGGCTCCGGGATAGGCAGAATTAATACTGTCCAAATGGCCATACTAACAAAAGCATTAGACAGATTTAATGCAATTCCTATTAAAATCCCAATGGCATTCTTATAGAAATACAAAAGGCAATCATGAAATTCATTTGGAAAGATAAGAGACCCAGAATAGCTAAAACAATTCTTAGCAAGGGGGGAAAAACGTTCATGAATTGAAAGACTCAATATTGTAAATTTGCCAAGTTCTACCAAGATGATCTATAGATGCAATGCAATCCCAATCAAAATCCCAGTATGTGGAAACAGACAAGCTGATTCTCACATTTATATGGACACGCAAAAGGTCAAAGGTAGCCAMTAATTTATTGACCAAAGTTGAGAGGATATGTACCATTGATTATGAAGATTTACTATATAGCTATTCTGACAATGTGATATTGGCACAAAGATAGACAAAAAGGCCAATGGGACAGGATTGGGTGCCCACAAACAGACCAATGCATATCTGAACACTTGCTCCAGGACAGAAGCAGAACTATGGGGCAGTGAATAAAAGAGAAACTCTTTAATAAGTTGGGTGGGGACAAGTGGGTACCCATGGGGGAAAAAATTGAATTTGTCTCTACCTTGTGCTATGCACCAAATAGCCACAGACAAAAACATGGAGAAATTTCACAAAAATTTAAGCAAAATCAAAACAACAACAAACAACTAGAAGGTTCCATTCATACAAAGTTGAAAGAAAAGAAGGCAGAAGTCATAACTGAAGTTAAGTTGGGAAGAAAACAGTATTAGTAAATGGGAAATGGAAAAAGAAGAGTTTCTAGAGTTCTGGTGAATATTTTATTTGTGTGCCTTTGGATGGTGAGGTAGTATAGAAAGTCTTTAGCTTATCAATATCTACCACTATATACCAGACATTGCAATAAGTCGGAGTCATCAAAAGGAATAAAAACAGGCACGATCCCACCACTCTGGTGGTGCTTGTCTCTGATAACAGAGACAGACAAAGGCAATTACAGTGATGAGCAGCTCAGATAAATATATACAATCACCCAGTAGGATAAGTGCTCTGAGAGATACCCTTAGCTTACTGCACAAGGGGAATTCTTTCTTCACTGGGGGTGGAGTTGAGGAGAAAAGCCATCAGGTCTTCACCATACTGAATTATAAAAATAGTTCCAACGGGTTTTACCCATCCCTAAAAAGCAGTGGTTACTCCTTTTATCTATAAAAAATGGTTTCAGTGTCATTTTAGATATACTCTTAGGAATGCCATCTGCTTATCCAGGAAAAATGTTGACTTTAAAGCCAGGGCACCTGGGGCTGGAATTGTGGCTCAGCAGTAGAGTGCTCTCCTGCACGTGTGTGCAAGGCACTGGGTTCGACCCTCAGCACCACATAAAAATACATAAAATAAAGGCATGTGTCCAACCTCAACTAAAAAAATACTAAAAAAAAAAAAAAGGGCACCAGCCCCTAAAAAATCCAGAGAAAACTAATTAATTTTTACTTAAACTTTAGAGATGTTACTCTAAAACCAAAAAGTTCTTTTGAATTTATAATTCAAAAAGTAATGAGTTTACCGTCTCTGATAAAATATAAAAAAGGGCTGGGGATGTGGTTCGGAGTTAAGCACCCTGGGTTCAATCCCTGGTACCAAACAAACAAACAAACAAACAAATCCATGATAAATAATCTTCTTTAAAATAATCTTCTCCAGGTTACAAAATACTTATGTGCTCCACTGTAGAACATCTGAGAAATCAGAAAATTATAAAGAAAGCAAAAATTCATAATTCTATCTCCATAGCTACTGCAAATGTTTTGGTGTGTCTCTTCTAGTTTTTAAAATGCCTGTATGCATTTATTTACACAGTCGAAATCAGATTCCTATGTGGTTTTGCAACCTGAGTTTTACTTTTAAAAATACAATGGGAATTTCTCTATCGTATTCAATAATCTTCCTAAGCATAATTTTGTAAAAAATTTCATACTACAAATATACCTAAAAGTCAGCTTGACCGCTTTGTTTTCACAGTAAAGAATTTTACTTGGCCCTGCTTCTAGGCCTACTCTGCAAGCAGTGTAGATAAGATCACAGAATCAGCCCCCCAAATAAAATACTCAAACCTAATTGGACGTTTTTCCAGGGCAAAGGAACTATGAATCCAGCAATTCCAAGTTCCTCCAAAACCTGATCATTTCAATAAGAAGATACTCATCATGTGAAACAGAGCTCCACCCTCCCAGAAATCCCCAAAGTTTTGAGAGGCATCCAAAGCTTTAAGATTCTGAGAACACATTCTGAAGTTGCTTCGCCCACTGTGATCCAGCCGCAGTTTYCTGCCCCGCGGCGATCAAATTTCGAGGAAGACCCAGAGAACTGAGCGAGCTCGACCTTCCGCCTGGGTTTAACAAGGGACGTGGTTAAGTTCGCGGAGATGGCCCGACRCGCAACCTTCCGCTCGCAGGTTCCCCTGGCAGAGCCTGCAGCTTGGAACGCTGGGGACCAGCGCCTCTCCAGGTACTACGCCCTCGCTCTCGGCGCGCGTTCGTCAGAATCCCAAATTCAGGTCGCGGGAACGAACTTGGGAGGAGCGCGCCCCCGGTCCCCGCCCTGCCCCGACTACAGCCTCCCCCTCCCACCCGCCCTCCCCGCTCCAACTGGAAGCGCGCAGGCGCAGCCGACTAGGAGTCCTGCCAACTGTCCAGGAGCCTGAGGTCGCCTGAGCCATCCCTGCCACTTCCACGCTCGCCATGGGCCTGGGTCCCCGGCTGCTGCTACCGCTTCTGCTTTGCCTGGGGCTCAGCGCACTCGTGTCTTCGGGCTCMTCGGGCAACCGCAAGCGAGGCCCTTTGGTGACAGCCAAGGTGACCCAACGGCGGGCAGCCACTTCCCCTCCTGTGGGCCAGGGGATGGTAGTGCTTTGGATACTGGGACTTCTGTGTCCCGGCCGGGAGGAGGGGGCTTCCAGAGCGCAGGGACACTGGAAGTGGCGGTGCGGTAGGTGGTAGAGGGCTGCTCGCGTGGGAGGAGCGGCCCTCTTCCGGGATACTCGGGGCTCTGGGACCAGGCTAGTCTGCCTCTGTCGCCTGCTGTTTGTACTCAGTCTCTGGGGTCGTGGTCCGCCGTTACCGCGCTGGAGTCGGAAGCCTAGTTCTCCTGGGAGGAGACAACTCCAGTACTTCCTTCGGCGTGGCCTGGACTTGGGAACAAAGCAGGAAGAATGCAGAGGGAGGGGACGGGCGGCAGAGACGCGCTAGCAACCGAGTGACCGCGGCCCGGCAGCCCGCCACGCACGTCATTGGGTCTGGAAGAGCCGAACTCCAAGCTGGCCTTGAATGCCCTCCTCCTCTCCCTCCTCCCTTGTTCCCCTCCCCTCTCTCTCCACTTAGGAACTGTCACCTCCCCTGGGATGACTTTTATACTTTGGGCTAGACCCTGAGTTTAGATGACCTAACCCTAACTTTTCATCTCTGTTGGGGGCATGTTTCTGCCTGGAATTGCGTCCTCACGGCTTGATACTCAGAATACTTAACGCCGCTTTAGTTTTACTTTCAGCGAGCTTTACCTAAGGTTAGAAGATAATGGGATGGTGCAGAGAGAGAGAGAGAGAGAGAGAGAGAGAGAGAGAGAGGGAGGTAATATTGCGGTGCCCATGATTACCACTTCTAGAAAACCCACCGGCAGTCATGTCTTGGAATCTGGAGGGCGGTGTGGGCAGATTAAAGTGGTCTTAACAAGCAGGCGGGGGTAGTCAGTGAAAATGATACCTTTAAACTAGTAGCATCCTTAAATCCTCCATGGAAGGCGCCACCCAAGGAGCAGGGAGGACAACAGGTGTGGGAGAGGGAGGTTCAGCCCAACGTCTGATGTAAGGGAAGAGAACCGAAAGCCCTGGCCATGCTGCAGGCAGGGTTGATAAACTCAGCCTGGTTCCTCTGAGAAGCTGTGATTCTACTCACAGCCCCATGATCTAGCTTTGCAACTGGTTTGTGGAGGGCCACAGAGCTGAAAGGGTTTCTTTCAGTCTGCAGGTACTATTTCTGTCTCTTGGTTGTTGAAAACCATAAACATAAAATTTATACAACTATGAAATGTTGAAGGAAATGAAACTAATATAGGTTGGGTGATATTTGAAAACACCTGATGCAGATCAAGGGTCATATGTTTTCTTTCATATTTGGAAACTAAAGAGGAAAAAGGAAGAGAAAGGTGGGTATCTCATGAAATTGGAAGGGAGAACAGTAAAGGAAAGGACCAAGGGGGAGGCTGGAGGTGAAGGAAAAGGGAGATACTGGGGAATGATATTGGCCAAAATATATTGTTGTATTTTGTGCATCTATGAATATGTAGCAATAAACATCACCATTATGTACAACTATAATGTACCAATAAAAAAGGAAAAAAAGAAAGAAAAATATCTGATGGAATGAGAAAAACCAGTTTGGGAAAGACTTAGGTAGTAAAGGACAGGTGCAAAGATCTCCAGGCAGGAAAGCCATCAGTGTGTTCAGAGGATGCAGAGTACTGTGTGGCTTTGGGGCAGGGATGAGAGCACAGTGGCCTGACATGAGGTGGGGGAGGGGTGCTCATCCATCATTCAGGGGTTTAACAGCTGTAAGGTGTGTGGGCATTGAGGTAATTATTCTTATAAGTTGAGGTCTTATTTTAAGTGTAGTTAGTTGCTGAAGAGTTTTATACATAGGAATGACATCATTTCATATCTGCTTTTAAGAAATCCCTCTGGTCAGTCAGTGGAGTGTGAACTGGAGTCCAGATAGTGGTTTGGATTAGGGTGGAAATCTTGGGAATGGGGAGCAAAGGAGGAACTTGGAATATGCTTTAGAGATATAACTAACAGGAGATGCTGACAGTGTAGACAGAAGGAGGGAGAGAGCGTAGAATGGTCAGATAAAATGCAGGACGCCCAATGAGATGTGAATTTCACATTAACAATGAATAAATTTTTACTGGGCATCCCCTGGAATATTTGGGAACACGTTTCACTGGGAAACTTTTTAGACATACTGATGAAGAGCTAGCCGACCACCATCTTTGGGGAAGGAGTCCAGTCATTTACCTTTTTTTTTTTAATTTTTATTAGTTATTGATGGACCTTTATTTATTTATTTGTTTATATGTGGTGCTGAGAATTGATCCCAGTGCCTCACACATGTGGCTCTTCCACTGAGCCACAACCCCAGCCCCAGTAGTTTACCTTTTAACAACATTCTGGTGAGTTCTGAGGTGCAGCCTGGGCTGGGAACCACTAGAATAAAGCTGAGCAAGGAGAAAACTGCAGGACGGCAAGAATTGGGCCACGCTGAGCCCAGGTCTAGGGCACTGTCACTGAGGGAGAGTTTTCATGTGCTCCACTCTTGTTTGGAATTGTAACTTAACATATCTTTTATTTTTTTCCCCACCAAATGTATCAAGTTCTGAAAGCTAATTGCCTAGACAAGCCTTATAACCCATTGGACTCTTTTGAATTACTTTTTTAGTGAACATATTTAAGCAACTAAATATATTGGAAAATGAACACATTAAAAATAATTTATCTGAGTGCAGAAAAGTAGATTTATTGGCCACTGCTCTAGTGCATTGTTTTTCTCAGCAGTGTTTTATAAGAATCTGTAAATAAAAGATAGGAGGTGCTGGTTTCTCCCAAAGGACTGTTAGTGGCACTAACCTCCCTCGTCCACGGATCCTGCTGCTGAGCCAACCTGGCAGCACCCTCCTGCCCTGCAGGGACTCAGGTGAGGCTCTGATACACTGGACTCAGAATCCACTGAATTTTGATTTCCTGAATTTTCCAGTAAAAGTGATGAATTCTGTGTAGGATCCAGCATGCCAAACAGCACTGCCATCTTTCTAGCTACACAGCTTGCAAACATGTTAGCCCGTAGTGGCTACGCAACAACATCTAAGGGACCTTGGACAAGTTATCTAATATCTGGGGTTCCACTTTCTCCTCTGTAAAAAGGAGATAGAAATAATACCTACCTGGAAGGGTTTTATGTATTAAATGTGCTAAAGCAGGTAAAATGGTTAGTCTATGGTCCCTGGTTTAAGAGGCCACTGGTTGATGTTAGAAATGTTCATCTTATTAATCCTGTTGTGATAGCAAGGAATCATCATCTATTTTACAGATGAGGAATAAGAGCTCAGAGTTTAGTTTGCCAAGAGTCTATGGACATTTAGTGGTGGATCTGGCTTTAACCATTTCCTTCACATCACCGCTCATGCGCTTGGTACTTTGCCAGTTACTTTGGAAGGATTTTGGCAGTATTAATGCCATAGGGGTTTGGATCAGGCTGTGTGAGTGCCTCTTCTCTGCTTCCCTACTTCCTCTAACCTTCAGTGCCCCCCAATTTTTAAATGACTTTCAAGGATGGCTTGAGGGGAAAAAGTGATGAGTTGCCCACCCACAAAGTGCAGCACAATGTCCAAGTCCCAGCTTTTCAGGAACATCCTGATCCCCACAGACAATCACCAGCCCTTCCCAGGACTTATCTTTATCTGACTCGTCTCATAAAACCCAGTTGCCCATTATATCATAGCATTTATGTGTATATTTTTTTCTTCTACTGAACTTTAGACTCCAGGAGGGTAAAAACTTTGTAGCTCACCCTTGTCCAGCACTGGACTTTGTTCCCAGGGACACTCAGCAAAGTTAGAAATGAGTTGTCTGGCAGCCCCCCACCTCCTGTCTAGGGGTGTGCCCCCCTATTTCATTTCACTTGGCATTGAACATTTCTTGACTGTCTGCTTGTGTTGACCATATACTGGGATCGGGGGAACTAAAAACACTTTGTACCCTTTTGGGATTCCTTTGCCTTGCCTGCAAGAGCTGGACKGGTGATATGTCACAGTTTAACTACAGGTAGCCTGGGTGGAAATTCTGGCTCTAACACTCAACCTTGGTAAATCACTTAACCTCTCTCACCCTCACTTTCCTCACTTATAAATTAGTGATAATACTCCTCCCTCCCCAGGATGTGGTGAGGATTCATCTCATAAGAGGATGTAGGTAAAGCACACAGARACACCACTATTGTGTTTCCTTCCCTTTTCCTTTTTCCTCCCACTTCCTTCTCCCCTTTATATAAAGGTGTCCCCCTGCCAACCATCCTTACATTCTCTCGGGCACCATCCCAGTGCAGCCCATTATGGCGTCATTCTTTTTTTTTTTTTTT